CCCAGAGAACACTGGCTGCTGCCACCCGGCTCCTAAGGATGCAGGACGTGCCAGCTATGGAGAAGGCATCCTTCACCTCATGGTAACAACTGACATTTGGACAGGGGACAGAGACCAGCCCACAAAGTACACCTTCCCATCTGAGCCTCACACTTCTTTGAGGGAGGTGCCAAAGGGATAATTATCCCCATTTTGCAGGTGAGGAAACTGAGGCTGGGAGAGGCTCAAGATTACAGAACCCAAGTGTCAGAGGTGGCCTTTCAGTCATTCAGAGCAATAATTATATAGCTAACACTCACATAGCACTTGAACGTTTACAAAGACTTCTATTCATGAATTCACTGTTCACAGCACTTTGAGATAGGTACTCTAGAGGGCGCCATAGGGCACAGATCGCTGGGCCTGGAGTCAGGGAGACTTGAGTTCAAATTCTACTTTTGGGGGGGGGGGGGTGACCAACCTCTGTTTCTTTCAGCTGCCTCAGCTGTGAAATGGGGATAACAACAGCATATCCCTCCCAGGGTTGTGATGATGATCAAATGAAATAATATTTCTAAAGTGCTCAGCCCAGAGCCCAGCACATAGTAAGGGCTATATAAATGTTAGTAGTTATTATTATGAACATCTATTTTACAACATTTTACAGATTTTTGGGGGGCTCAGTTAAATGACTTGCCCAGGGACTCACATTTACTAACTAAGCTTAGGACTCCACCTGCCTGGACATTTCACACTGAGATGACAATCTATGCCCATTTGACAAAGGGGAAGGGGAGAAGGGGAGGGTCAGGGAATATCGGCCCCCCTGGGTCAGGCCTTCAAAGAGCTGAGGCCGGGTATGACCCAGAACCTGTCCACCAGTCACTGAGAAGAAGGAGCACAAGGCAGGGAAATGCTTAGGAGTTCCTGTTTAGGCGTCAGACGTTATCAGTCTGAACCCAGCTCTGGGGCCTATTGCCGGCGCAGCCTTGGATAATTTGTGTTACTTTAGGGGAAAAAAAGGAAGGGAGGAGAAAAGAGGAGTCTGGGGAACAGAGCGGTAAAAGCCAGCTAGCTTTGGAATCCATAATGGCCCTGGGTTCAAATGCTAGCTCACCCACATTTACTCTGGAACAGTTTCTCAACGTTTCTCTTCTACAAAATGAGGGGGTCAGACTGAATGACCTACCATGTTCTCTCCAGCTGAAAACGCTCACAGGGAAAAAAAGTGAGGAAGAAATGAAAGAAAAAAAGAAAGAAAAAGGGAGAGCAAAAGATCAATTCTGAGCTGAACAGGACGTTCAAGGCCAGTGTCTAAGCCTTCATTTTACAGCTGAGGAAAATTAGTTAAGTGACCAGGGTCACTGAGCCAGCAAGTATCTGGGGCAAGATTTGCACCCAGGCCCTATCTACCTAGCTGCCTCTGGACCAAAAGATCTTAACCTTTTTTGGGGGGGGTGAGAGCCCATGTACCCCTTTTTAGAAGAACATTTAAAAAAGCATAAAATACATGTGGAGGAAAAGAAAAGTCTAGTGACAATAGAAATGTACTTTTTTCCCATCCAAAGTCATGGACTCCCAGAAATTCGCCTGGGGGTAGAAGAGTGGGGGAGCAAAGGAAGAAAAGATTAGGGGATAAGAGAGTGGGGAGGAGGGAGAGCCCATTCCCGCCTCCACTTCCTCTAGGTCACCTGGATCTACTGGTCTCTCCCCTAGCTCTAACCCTTCTCTGAACTCCTGGGGTACCGGGTGGCGACATCCCACAGTTTAGCAAGGAATTGTTTTAATTGTTTATGAGTTACCCAACCCCAGCAAAGGGGCCCTCATTAACAAGTGGTGAAAGGGCTGGCCCAGAATCCCCACTTCAGAGGCCGAGGGTGGGGTAAATCATTTCACACCCCCTGAGGGCCCACACCCCCAGTTAACCTTTAACCTCAGGATGCTAGCATATCCTCTCAGGAGCAGTAGGGGCAGCTCCAGAAGGTTGGCTCTGGTCCTACTCCCCCCTCCAAGCCTCCGCCCTACTTAAAAAGGAGACCTGACCCCAAATCCCTCCCGGTGACCTCCTCAGTCAGCAGAAGCCTCACACCAGCCCCTCCCATGGATGAAATTAGAATACCAGAGGTTTGCATTTGTAAAAAGCTTCCTAAAGGCTTTTCAAAGCCCTCAGCTGGCCATTAGCTCAGCTGACCCTCCCAACTATAGCCCAGTAGGGGACAGGGAAAGGCAGGTATTATGGTCACTGTACCCAGGCAGAAAGGGAGGCCCAAAGGGAGATGTCTAAGCCCAAGGCGCTGAGTTGGGCCAGACCCCAAGAGGTTTGGGGATCTCAGATTCTCTATTCCAGGACATTCCAAATATGGATGGGCTTGATAGAAATGCAGAGGAGCCGGGAGGCTTGGGATTCCCACAGAATCCAAATCAGTGAGCTAAAATACTAAACTCCATCGGGAAGGTAAACAGAGGGGAAGGAGGTGTCACTAGGCCTGAGGCAAAAGGGTAGGAGACAGAAGAGGTTCCAAAAATGGGTTAGTGGAAAAGAGGTGGTCTGGGTCTGAAGCCAGAGAGCTATATTTGAAGTTAGAAGTTCTGAGTTCAAATCCCTCATCTGAGTCTCAGTTTCCCCATTAGTAAAAAAGGTTGAGTCGGATGGCTTTAGGAAGTCCCTTCAAAGTGACCAGAGTTTAGGTTAAGTCAACCCCCTGCTTTAATCTCCTTATCTGTTACGCCAGGGGGCAGGGCCAGATGGTTGATAAGGCACCATTCAGGTCTAAATCAATGACCCTAAATCTTGGGTTTTAATCCTTCCTTTCCCACCCATTTAGTTCAAACATTTAAACACCTGTGGGCAACGAACTGGGGATAGACAGACAGAAAAATGACCCCACTCCGCAAGGAGTCTGAATTTTCTGGGGAAATAATTGTAACATAAATATACTACCATAAGGGAAGGAGATTGGTTAACATGGGGGGGGAGGGTCTGAACCTTGTTTAGGAGCCCTCAGAACCCCAGTTTCCTCTTCTGGTTACAACTGGATTAGATAGAACATTTATTAAATTGTTAAACCAAGTACTGGGCTTTTGAAGATCTCTATCTAAAGTCTTTCTGGTCCCAGGGAGAGAAAGGTGGAGACAGCTCAGGAAAGGGGGGTGGGGAGCAGGGAGGGCCTGGCTTGGGCTCAGAACTAGCTGACTTCCGCTCCCCCCTCGTCCATTTTCTTAGAGACCCGGCCGAGCAGGAGAGAAAGTTACCGTAATGACACAAGGGTTACCTCCCTCCCTCAAACAGCCCGGCCAGATAATCCAAAAGGTCACATCCTCTTCCTCCCCTCCCCCCCAGGACCGGCCTTATGCCAGTAAATACGGTAGGCCTGGGATTGCAGAAGAGACAAGGGGGAGGGGGGGGTGGTGGACAGACTCTCGGCTCTCAGCTTGGCAGCCAAGTACGAAACATAGCACACATCTCCACAGGGGGAGGGGAAGGGCAGGAGGGCCAGAAACAGGCCAAGCAGGTTCACGGCTCTATCCGCCACCGAGGGGGCCCAGGGCCTCAAAGAGGCAGCCAACTGTACAGGAGCTCCCCACAGCACCCCCCTCTTGTTTGGGGCTTATATTCCCTCCTCAAATCAGCCTCCACTCGAGGGAAAAAGGGGGGCCGGAGCAGGCAGAACACCACGTGGGTAAGGGACAGGCAGTCTACCTACCTTATGGCCAAGCTGGGAGAGCAACTGGGGGTCTGCCCGTTCTTGCTAGACGTGCTGAATCCCGATGGCTTTCTTCCATCTCTTGGCTAGCAAATCAAAGGGGCCCAGTCCCTCTGGCTAGAAGAACTTCCGGTGGCTTTGGGGCCCCCAAAGTTGGCTCTTGGGCCAAGGTCGGCCTCACTGCCCAAGATTCTCCCGGCTGCTGGGTCAAGCCCACAAGGAGTCACTCTTTAAAAACCAGCCCCAGAAGTATCCATCGATGGAGCCCACATGGGGACTCAACAAGACCCCCCTTTTTTGACTACAGCACAGACCAGGAAAGCAAATTCAAAGGAATTCAGCTGGGGGGTGGGGTGCTGAAGATAGGGAAAGGCCTTGTCGGCTGTGGGGGAGGGGAGGTGGGCAGCCAGGACCAAAGGCCAAGCATCTGAACAGCTAGGAAGGTTCTGTGACCTTGGTCACTGTTCTGGGAGGCCCAGGGGAAAGATAGGGCCTCATCCAGGCAAGGGGGAGGGAGAGCTTGTTTACCGCCAGATCCAGAACTGAGCAAACATACAAAGACCAAACATGTTTTTCCTGTTTTTATTGTGGAGTCGGAATCCTTAAGTCTTCAGGCCTGGGGTTTATAACTTTCTGAACAAGACTCTTGTCGGGAAACTGACATGCCAGGGTCAGCAGAGATGCTGGAGGGGGTGATGGGGGAGGGGAGCAGAGAAACAGAGCCGCCAAAGGCCTTTCACTGGGAGAGGAGAGGCAGGAAACCGCTGCCATTTATAAAGCTGGTTTCCAAGGTTGCTTCAGCCCTCCTCCCCACCCACACTGGGAGAAAAAGGCTCCGAGAGCAAAGGGACTTACCGAATGGCTCCGGAATGGAGAAATCAGCGTGAAGGAGCCCACAAGTGGGCCTCCCAACCTCCCCCGACCCCTTCCCCTAAATAAGGAACTACTTCCAATTCTCTCCAGGGGCTGGGGTTTCGTGGGGGTGCCCTGCCCTCGATAAGTCCTGGAGAACCTGAAGCCCAGCTCAAGTGCCAGAGCCTGGGTTCACCATCAGGGCAGGAGATAGGGAGCAGGGGGGGTTCCAAAGTCCATCCAATGAATGAGAAACCAGGGCTTCATCTTTGGAATTCAGTCCCCAGACGCCCAGTTACGGCAAGGGAATTGTTTGTCTTTGTCGGCCCTGGTGCCAATCCCGGCCCCACCCAGAACTTGAGGTACCACTTCCCTTAACTAAGAAGGGTGGGAGGCTTGAAAGTACTGGATTGAATAACAGAACATGTGGCTGGAAAGGCTAAGGTCGGGTCGGACCCTGGGCACTCACTCTTACCCCTGGCTGGCTCCGCCTGCTTCGGTGTGTCCCAGGTATCCAAGTGAGCCCCGAGTTTCTGAGCATCCTGACTGGGAATGGGGGGGGGGGTTGAGAGGGGGAAAAACAACCAAGGTCATCACCCAATAGGTTGAGGTCCCACCCAACCCTCCACTGCCTCTCAGGCTTGCTGTCTGCCTGGCAGGGCTGACCCTGAAAAGGAATTTGGGGGACTGGACGGAGAAGGGTCGTCCTCCTCTCTCTCAACACCCAGTTGCTGCCCCCTCCCCCATCTCAATTCAGAGCCAAGTGGCTTCGAGCCCTGGTTTGGGGGCCTCGTAAGAGAGGGGGAACTGTCTCCCTGGTCCCCTAGGAAGCTTAGAGACAGAACAGGCTCTGGAAGGGAGGAGGAGACCGTCAGAGTAAAGGGATCTCCCAGGGTCACCCCTCCCCCACCGCCTTCCTTCCCCCTCCCCTTTGTCTGCGGCTGGGGGGGGGGGGGCTGCCTACGGCTTTAAGAGCGGCTCTCCCCTCCCCCACCGGAGCGCAGAGCTCGCAGGAGGCGGAGGAGGCGGCGGCGGTGGCTGGCCCGGGCCCCGGGCTCTCTGATTACAGTCAGCCCGCCCTCCCCTCCGATCCCCTCCCCCACCAGCAGCCACCGCCCTCCCTCCGCACGTCCCACCCCCCTTCCTCTAGCACGAAGTAGCAGCCTCCAGCGCACGAAATGGCGCCTGTCTTTTCTTTCCTCTCCAAGCCTGCTGGCTTCAGCAAACAGAAGCCCAGGGAAAGCTTGCTCCCAGTCCTCCCCGTAAACTGCCCCGACGACCCTGCAAGCTGGTGCTCAGGAGAAGATAAAAAAATTAAAACCTAGACCTATGCAAAAAAAAAAAAAACCCAAACCCAAAGAAAGAAAAAAAAAAGCAACCACACCAAATAAAAAAACAAACCTAACCCCACTGCAACTCAGCCCGAAAGTATGATTTACCCAGAGCCAAGCCAGGCGTGGACAGGCCCTGCAGCTCAAGCGAAGCCACCTCCTGCTCCACGACTCGCAGCTGCAGCAGGAGAGGAAAGGAGAGAGAGAGAAAGCTCGAAGCGGCCATTAGCAAGCAGCCCAGCCCAGCCTAGCCCGGGCCAGCCCGGCCGGGCCAGGCGTCCCCGTGCCCAGAAGCCCCGGCCCTAACCCGCCCGCCCGAACCACCCTGGGCGCGCTCTCGGAACCTCAAAATAAAACTGGAGCGCAGCGGGGTGGGAGAGAGGGAGGAGGAAACGAGCTGGGGCAGAGAAGAACAACAAGGCAGGACTGCAGCAGCCCGGGAAAGACTGCTGCGTCATGGCGCCAAGATGGACGCCGTTCCCCTTGTCCTTCCTTTCCCTGCCCGAGCCGTCCAGGGGTCGGGGGGAGCCATGCTACGCTGCCCAGGCCAGGCGGGGTGGCAGGAGGATCGAAGAAGGTCCCCCCCACGAACTTCCAACGGGAGGAAAAGCCCCTAAATTTGGCAAACTGAGCCCCACTGGAGGGGCAGATTAAAACCCCAACCAAAACCACTGTTTTCCTTGGTTTTCCTCAAGCTGCGAGATCGTGGACGGCAATGGGGAGAAGCTTGGATGGGTGATGGAGAGAAGCCGCAGAGTTCCCCCCCCCAGCAGCAGCGGGGATAGTCAAGGGTGTGGGGGTTGCTGAGAGCCTGATAGGGAAGCGCCCTGTCCCTCCGAAGGCAGGAAAAGAGTCACTCAAAGCACCCCCTCAGTCCCAAAGAGAGATGCACCAAATCCTTTGGTAGGAAGACCCCCCCACCCCCATCCCCACCCCACCCATCCCAAAGTGTATCTGTCTAGCCTTTCTCCACTGTCCATATTGTCTGCCCCTCCTCGCCAACTACAACCGACAAGAAGCTTGGAACCCAGGCAAGCTCAGTCCCTCGGCTCTAGGCAATCTGCTGCGCAGGGCCTGCTCCAGCCGGTTTTGCTCCAAGGGCTTTTAAAAGGCACGTTTTTTACTTACCGGTGCTCAGCTTGGCGCTATGGAGTCTGGAAGGTGAACTTGGGCGTTGGTTTGGTGATGTTATTAGTAAGAAAAAAAACCCACCATTTTGTTGGAGTTTGTTTGGATTATTATTATTATTATTATTATGGGGGGGAAGAGAAGGTCACTACCTTTTTGTCAATTACAGTGTCATGTCATTTCATCGCCTTCGAATTCAGCAAACTTTTCCCAGGGTTCGGCCAAAGGCTTGCTGGCTTCGCCGGTGGGGCTGGCTAGGGCAAGGGTATTTAGAGTCATTTCAGAGGCAAAAGGTAAAAAACAGACGCTTCAAACAAAACGGGAGACAAAAAAGAGTTAGCCACTTCGCACCCTGGTCACCCCAACAACCAGATAAAAGGCTGCCCAGTTTAATAATGCCGCTTGCCAGTAACTGCTTAGGGCTTGTTTGAAGGGGTTTCAATCTAGTTTCCTGTGACCAGTTCAGTCTGCAGAAGAGTGGGGCTTTCTTCTCGCTTCCCTGCCCCCCCCCAAAGACTGGAGAAAACAGAGCTGTCGCCCTTAAAAGAGAGGTTGCTTAAAGAAAATCGACCAGCTAATTGGGAATAAAGCTAGCTAGCATTTACTGTAGTTAAAATATTTCTTAAAGCCTAAAGCTATCTCATCGTTTAAAGGCATGAATTTGGTTCTGAAATTCGACAAGGAGAGACAAAAACAGACATGCAGATAGATGAAGGCTCAGAAATTAGGACATTTAGGTAACATTAACATGAACACTGAACCGAAATAAGGACAGAATGGATTGGGTACTTACAACAGAGAAGAATTTAAAAGAACAACATAGCATAATGGCTTACATTCTTCTGGCTTAGTACGGCCAGAATTCATTATTTCCTAAAGCTCTACATTTAAAACATTACCTTGTTAAGAGAGAAGGAGAGGAGTTAATAAGATGGCCAGGTATAAGTGTTTAATAGAGGAAGTTATATATATATATATATTTTAAAAAATTTATTGTTCAATCAAGAGGATACAGATTAGACAGCTCAAGCCCTTTTCCCCACACCCCCAGCCAAAAAAAAAAAAAGGAAAAAAGTAAATAAATATGTTATTTACTTAAGTTTTTTTGGATTCAAAATTTTTAAACTGCTGACATTAATGGTGGGCTATGACCTAGTTATACAAGACAAAGATGGATTCCAGGTCATAAGGAGAAAAAAAGCAAAATCCAAAGTCATTTTTTAAAAAAATGAAGTCTTCCTTCTTCCATCAGTCCTTTAGCATTGGTGACCAACATTGAACAAAACACTGGGCAATCCTGCACTGGATGGTGGAGTCAAAGGAAAAGCGTTCCCCCTTTTGGAACAAAGGAAAACCCACTTGGCCATTTAATTCCATGGCAGAAAAATGGCTCCCTGAATGTTGGCCTCTCCTTGGCTTGTCTGATGACGGATGTTTGGAGATCCGCGTCTAATAACTCAAGCCCCATAGAAGCTTCGCGCTGATTGGCCCAGGGGCCCTGGCGCCCTGAATCAGCCAATTACCGCACCACGGCCCAATTACAAACCCCCAAAATACCCCCCAATATGAGACGAACCACCGTGAAGCCGAAGCAAGACAAGCAGCCTCCTCTTCAGCCAGGAGGAGGCAGGGAGGGAGCGAGGAAGGAAGGAGGGGAAGGGGGGGGGAAAAACACCCATTGCTTCCCTCCCCCCCTCCACTGTAATAGTGTAACCGAAAAGAAGCACCGGGTGCTTTAGGGTAGAAGCGACCAAATGGAAGCTGTGCGCTGATTGGTCGCCGCCAGTCCCAGGACCTTTAATAAAGAAAAAAATGAATGTAGAAAGCGACTCACTCGAGTTTGGAGAAAGTATGGGAGGGTAGGTTTGATGTGCCCCGGACAGATTAAAAAAAAGAAAAGAAAAAGGTGGAGGGAGAGGAAAAAAAGTCCTTCCTCCAAAAGGGGGAGGGGGAGAAGAGCGGAGGAAAGAAAAGCACGCCGAGGTCGGTCTGCATCCTTCCAGCGAAGCCCAATGATTGCAGCGTAATGCTAATTTGGAAATCCTGTTCTTTGCTCCGAGGTTGCTGGGGGTGCAAGGCCAGACGAGGAGGGAGAGCAGGGAGAGGAAGGGGTATCCCTCGATTGCAGCCCTAGGAGATCCAGCGCCGAGGCTCTCCCACTCCTCCCTCGACTTCAAACACACACATACACACATACCCCCAAAATAAAACCCACCCCAAAGTCAGGCGGTCCCACCTCCAGTCCGTCTTGTTTCTAAACAGTGTAGGAGGCCGAAGGTAAACGCTGGCTGCGCCCGGACACTGTGGGCCCGGGGGAAACCGATTTCGGGAGAGGGAGGAGGAAGGGAACCCCCTCCCCCTTTCCCAAATCCTCCCTCCTAGTCAAAATCCCGATCCTCCTCCAGAGATAATAAAATGCATTAATTAAAAGCCCGTCCCCCGGGCCTCCCTCCCACCCCCCAGCCCAGGCCCTCGGGCCTCCGCCCCAGGCTGGGGGAGAGTAGGTTGGGGGGTGGCCTTGGCTGGGGGGGGGTGTTGCAGCGCAGCTGCTGCGAGCGCCAGGGGGAGAGGAGAGTGGAGGAGGAGGAGGAGGAGGAGGAGGAGGAGGAGGAAGGAGGAGGAGGGTGAGAGATTGGGTCGGGCTCCATAGCGGTGTATTGTGGGATGTGCGGGGACTGGGAGCCGAGCCGCTGCCGCCAGCCGCCTCCTCCAGCAGCGGCAGCAGCCGCCGCCGCCGCCGCCGCCGCCGCCGCAGCAGCAGCCTCAGCTAGCCCCCGGTCCGGCCGCCCCAGCCTCGGCTCCCGCGGGGAACACCATGTACAGGCTGGTCGCGCAGGGAGGCCGGCGCCCGGCGGGGATGTAAGCAGGGGCTCCCTATTTCCCCCTCCCCCCCTTCCTCTCCCCTCCCTCCTTCCCCTCCCCTCCCCTTCCCTCCTTCTCTCCCTCCCCCCTCCCCGGGAGAGGCCAGCGGAGGCCGCGGCGGAGCCAGGCTGGGGGGGGTGGCTGGGAGGAGGAGGAGCGGGAGCGGGCTGGTGGCGGCGGCGGCGGCGGCCCGCGACCCCCCAGCCCCGAGCCCCAGCGGCACCATGGCCTTCCGAGGGATCCGGGCCGGGGGGCGAGGGAGCAGCCACGCCGAAGATCATGGCAAAAAGCAGAGTTCAAGTGAGCTCCCCCCCTCCTGCCCCGGCCACCACCGCCACCGCCGCTCATCTCGGGCTGCTGCCGCCGCTGCCGCCACTGCCTGCTCCCTAGCCCGGGATTGCTCCTGTCCGCCCGGGGAAGGGGGCAGCGGGCAGCCTGGTGGCTGGCCGGCTGGCTGCCTGGCGGGCGGGCGGGCTGGCTGCTCCGCTCTTTTTTACAAAAATAATCACCCGGTTTTTTGGAGACGGGGAAGGCTCGGGTGGGAGGGGGGGGTGGAGGTTTTGGGGGGGCTTTTTTTTTTCTTAATTTTTGAAAGCCGCCCTTGCCGCTGCGGGAGAGACACAACTTGGTGTCGGTCGTTTTTCAGGTTGGGTTAACGGCATGGAGAGCAGTAGCCACCACCACCACCAGCAGCCTGGACCTTCGGGGGAGAAGAGAAACCACCATTGGAGAAGTTACAAGTTGATTATTGACCCCGAGCTGAAGAAGGGACAGCATAAACTCTACCGTTACGATGGACAGCATTTCAGCAAGGCTGTGAGTGGAGTGGGGGGTGTCTTTCTTCCATTCCTTCCTTGCTGAAACATAGATAGCACCCCCTTTCTTCCTCCTCATTCCAGGGCCCAAAGAGCAAGAGGACCTGTCGGGACCTCCCCCCTCCCCTTTCGATGGGAAACGTCAGGGGGAAACCCTCAGTAGCCCCCCCCCCACAGTGTTCAACTGTCAGGTTCCCGGTCCGGCTGGGTTTGCTCCCCCCCCCCATTCTTTCAGCGCCTGACTTTTGACACATGGGGGAGGAGGGAGCATGGAGGGAAAGGGGCTGCTTCCTCCATCCACATTTCCCTGGAGGTGTATGCGTTCCCACCCCCACCCCACTGCCTTCAATCTGAGAACTCTCTTTTTTTTCTTTCCCTCTCTTCCCCCCAGACCCAGTGCTTTCTCTCGGTGAAAATCGAGGACCCGAGAGTCAGAAGAACATGGACAAAAACCAAGGAGTTGGAACTTCGTGTCCCCAAATTCAAGGTAGTGACCCCTCTCCCTAGCCAGGGAGGTTGGGACTTATGGAGGGGGGGGAGTTACCCTGAATTCTAAAATACCGTTGGGAAGGACATGGCCCCGGTTCCCGCCTGTCTGTGTGTGTGTATATGGAAAGGGGGGGTGCAAACTGGTGTTTAGAGCAGCCCAGCTTCTTTGCTGTCAACATTTCAACAACCATCCAGATTGTAGGGGAGGGAGGAAGGCTGTGGATACTCTGTCCCACTGGCCTGGAAGGGGTGTGTTTCCAGAGGCATCCCCAGGAGGGGTTCAGCTCTTGAGGTAGGGGGTGTCGCTGGCACCAGGGAACACCCCCCCTCAGGGTTGCCCCCCTTCGATTTAAAGAGGGGGAAGGCCCCTGAGCGAGGGGGAAGGCCCCTGAGCGGGGGGGGGGGGGGGGGGGGGGGGGGGGTGAGGGCGGGGAGGGGGGGGGGGGGGAGGGGAGACAAACTGTTTCATACCCCCCCCTTCCTTCGGAACCCGAGGACTTCCAAGTTCCAAACGATTTAATCCTCGGCTTTCTGTCCCCGCCCGCGTGCATTTTTTTAAAAAAATGTATATATATTTATTTATTTTCTAACCCTTTAAAGTTTGGGACAGAGGGGCACTGTGGTGGCATAATGCTTTCAAGTATCAGCGTTTCTTTTAAATTTTAATTTTTTCCATCTGGATTATCCCTTCTTCCTTCAAACCCCCCCCCCCAGATCGATGAGTTCTACGTGGGGCCGGTGCCTCCCAAGCAGGTGACTTTTGCCAAACTGAATGACAACATCAGGGAAAACTTCCTGACCGACATGTGCAAGAAATATGGGGAGGTGGAGGAGGTGGAGATCCTTTACAACCCCAAGAACAAGAAACATTTGGGCATTGCCAAGGTGGTCTTTGCCACCGTAAAGGGGGCTCGGGAGGCCGTGCAACATTTACACAACACCTCGGTCATGGGCAACATCATTCACGTGGAGTTGGACACTAAAGGTGGGTAAATCCTGGAGGAGCTAGCGGGATAGGTGAGGGACTTGCAAGAAGCCGCTCATTTTGATCATTCATCTTTCCTCCTCAAACTGTTTCCCCTTCCCCCCTTCTCTGTTAGGGAATGTTGGGTTTTAGCTCAATTTTTTCCCCTCTGAAGCCTCCTCCCCTTTTTTGCCCCCCCCTTCCCCACCCCTGGCAGAATCACGTGGAGCCTAATGTGTTGTCTGTTGCTAGGAGACAGGCTGTAATTTACAAAATGCTCCAGTCCTTGGCCACCCCCCCACCCCCACCGGGACCACTCAGAAAATTAGCCCCAGTTGGGTTTACCCTGCTCCCCCAGTGCCTCCATAGCTCCCCCCTACCAGCCTTTGTGTCTTGGTTTTAAATGGTCCCCTGTGCTGTCGGGGGCCCCCTTTTGTTTACTGGGGTGTTTGTATCTTTTGAAAGGGGGGGGGGATGATTTTACATGCTGGGAGTGACTACGGGAGCCTTCTGTAAATAAAGTGATGGAATGAAACTGGGTCCCTCCTGGAAAGGGAGACAACCTAACTCATCTCCCGGTAGCCAACGGGGGCAGCTATTTCATTGATAAATAGTGAATGATGAAGCCGGTCTGCTTCAGAAGCCTGCACAGGGTTGACAACTGTGTGTTTCTTTCCACACTCCCTCTTAAAGGGATAGCAGCACTTCCTCTCTGCAGGAATCCCTCCACAGTGTGAAAAAAAAACATGCCTGTGCAGTCTGCCTCTAAAAACAGGAAAGAGGACAAACTGGGGGGGGGGGGTGCGGCAGAATGTGAGTTGCTTGTTCGCCCCCATTCTTCCATTCTTTTCTCCTGGATACTGGTGGCTATCCCACTGACCTGGGGCAGGGATCCCTAATACCTCCTCTTCAGGAGTTGTCAGTGGACTTTCTCAGAGTTCTAGTCAAAATCGTATTTTCTTTTCCCCCTTCGGGGCTCTCATACCAGGAGGAATTCTAATCCAGATGGAAAATGCAGACTGAATGTGCCTGCGCTTCCCTGTTAAGTCTCTCATTCTGCCCCAAACCCAGGAGACACTGGGCAGAGTTCCTGAGTTTTGAGCGGTTTCCCGTGTGGCACAAGCCTGGCTGGGCGTGAAGTGGCTCTGCCTGGTGACTCGTAAGGCAGGACTGGCCTTTCTAGTTTTCAGTGAACCATTAGTGTAGATACCTGAAATAAGAGAAGAACAGGATGAAGAATCCAGGGGGAAAAAATTCTCCCCTCCCTCTCATCTAGAATAGACTAGTCCTTCACCAGATTGCAGTGAGATTTGTTCCAGCTCTTAGATTCTGAGATTCCTTTACCCCTTGGTCAGTTAACAAGTACTTAGTGACCCAGTGCTAGGCACAGTGGTGGGACAGGGGAAGCATAAAATGGCACTGGAGGTGCCTTCTTTCTCAGCTGTGCCCCCTTCTTTCTAATTTCCAGTGACTTTAAAATTCTGAAGCTCTGGGTCCAGATCCAGCACCATTTCTTCAGACTCAGGGGGCTAAGGTGTGATCTCTTAGCAAGCTGAGAAAGAGAGTTCATACCCTGATCCTCACGCACGTACATACTCTTGGTTAATTAATCAACTCTGATTGAAAAGGTCCTGAAGATACCAGTCACAGATCTTGTATTTCAAGAAAAGAGGAAAGTTTACTGTAACTCAAGGAATGGAGGTGCTTTGCATATTTCAACCCTGTCCTAGAGGAGTCATGGGTTACATAAATACTGACAATTAAAGTCTTACCATCCGGTCTGGGTTGTCTGCAGCTGTGAGGCTCCATGGGCCAGTAATTCTGACAGAAGGGGTTGATACCTTTTTAGCTTTAGGGATTGGGGTGAGAGGAGGGGTTGGCTCAGCCAAAGATGTGGAATAGAGGGGAAGAAGGAAAGTCAGGGGGATCTTTGCAGATGTGCATAGGACTTGTTAATAAATGAATGATGGAATTTGGACATCTGCTCAGGTGTGGGTTAGACTTGGAGGCTACAGCCAATGCTTGAGATGCTGTGATTGGCAGGACCCAGTTCAAATTGAGCAAGCCACTTCTCTAGGCCTCAGTTTCCTCATCTGTAAAATGAGGTCAGACCAGATGGGCTCTGAGGTCCCTTCCAAGTCTCCAACTGTGATATTATGGTTGCTTTTACTCCTGTGTGGTTCTATGTATCTGTTCTCCCTCCCAACCCAAAAAAAACCCAAAAACTGAAACAGAACCCATCTAGTGTCATGTGAGTATGCTCCTGGCTTTCTGCCCTCACCCCCGATCTCTTTTGAACGGTATCCTCCAAGTTGAAGCGTTTAAAAAATAATCTGTGGGACTTTTTACTCATTCTCATCCCTAGATCTGAGGTATCCCAGCACCCACGTTCATTATAAAGTCCTCCAGTAGAATGCAGGCCCCTTGGGGTCAAAGGCCTCTGGGGGATCAGTTGCCTGAACTGTATGATTTTAAAAGCCCGAAGAGGAGGGTATGTGATCAGACACTCCCAACTTCTGTAGAGGGAAGAGGCATTGGGATGCTGTGCTCAGCTTCTGAACGTCGGAGGGTAGCTGGAGAGAGTAACTAAGTTATCAGAGTTCAGGGTTACTGGGAGAAGGGCTGTCCGCCCCAGCAAAGGGGGGTCCTGTCTTGATCGCCGCAGCTGCCTGGACCATAAACCCCTTCAGGGAAAGGAAGAATCAGGCCCACTTAGGGCATCAGGGTCAGAATGCCAGCCGTTAGAGCTCACTTACCCTTTCATTTTGTTGTGGTTTGTCGAAGAGGACCATGGGATCAGGGAGGTGATGCCGTGACTTGCAAGTGAATTGGATTTAAGTGAGGGGGGGCTGTGAAAAGTCACCAGCCTCACTCTCCTCCAGAGAAGGGTCCAGTGGCCAGATATCGATCAGGATGACTGGAGATAGCCCCCTTTTCATTTTAAAAGGGGAGACAGTGACTTTCCCCGTCACCCACCCAGCTGGTGTCTCCCCGCTGCCTTTAGCAGCGCCAGAGCTGGGTGTGTATCACTTGCAGTTGGGGGCAGCAGAGAAAAAAATAGGCTTAGAGTCCATTTTGCCTTCTCTCTCCTGTACTGCTCCGTACCTTATTTCTACAGCTGTCCCTCTAGAGCCTGGGCTGCCCTGGGTGGTCCCTGGCAAGCAGGCATTCAGTGCAGAGGTAAGAGGCTGGGTCATCCCTGATCACTTCATGAGACGTCTTCTTGTCTGTGGTCTGTGCAGGCGAAACTCGAATGCGATTCTACGAGTTGCTGGTGAATGGCCTGTACACTCCCCAGACCCTCCCAGTGGGCATCGAGCTGGACACCTCCCCAACAGCCAATAAAACTTTGCAGGTGAGTTGGGTGATTCCCTTCCTCTCTCCCAACTTTCCTCAGCCTTAGCTGACCCTTGAGGGGTTGACGTGGGGGGTGTGTGTGTGTGTGTGTGTGTGTGTGTGTGTGTCTTTGTCTGTGTCTGTGTCTGTGTCTGTGTGTGTGGGAGGAGTAGAGGAGAAAGTCATGAACAAAGTGGCTTTACAGAGGGGGCCAGAAAAAGACCTGGATTCAGAGTCTATTCCTGACAGTCTGTGACTATTAGGCTCAGTTTTCACATCTGTGGAATGGGAATAATACCTGCGATACTTCTGTCCCTATGATAGTTATAAAGTTCAGATAAGAAAATATGTATAAAGCAGAATGCTGACTCTTTAGAACTAGGTCAAGGGGAAAGATGAGTGGTGGGGAGGGGTCCCGCTTTGTGCTTTCTGACTCTGGAGCCCTCTGTCCAAAGCAGTTCCAACTCCAGGGAGGGTGCTCTTTCCACCCCTTGTGTGCCCCATCCCTGTGCTAAGTACAATAGAGGGAATGCCCTGTCCTGGGGAAACTGAGGCTCATCAAGGAGATGATCTTACCCTAGACTGATGAGTCTAGGGCCAGACCCTAGGCTGGTGAGTTTTTTGCTCTGCAGGCTGTCACTCATCCCCATTGTTAAGTTCTGAGCTGCCTCACCCAGGACATGGTCAGGGATCCCCAGAGAGTCCAACCAGGGACCCGTTTTCTCCCCTTTTTTTTTTTCAAATGTAAAAATCCTCACAAACAGCAACAAACTTTGTGCCCCAGAGGACTTCTCCCTATGGGCAGAGCTCCCGGCTGAGCCCTGTGTCTCAGATCCTTGTCTCTCCAGCCTAGGAGGGTCCTATCCCTACTTCTATTAACCCTCTCCTTGGCCCCCAGCATGTAAACTCAGCCTCCTAGTTGGACCTTTTTTTTTTTCTTCAAGGCAATGTGGGGTTAAAGTGACTTGCCTAGGGTTACACAGGTAGTAGGTGTCAAGTGTCTGAGGTCCGATTTGAACTCAAGTCCTCCAGACTCCAAGGCCAGTGCACTATCCACTGTGCCACCTAGCTGCCCCCCTCCTATTAGGACCTTTTTGACCCTATAGTTAGGTGGTACAGTGGATAGAGTGCCAGACCTGAAGTCAGGAAGACATGAGTTCGGATCCAGTCACAGACATACCAGCAGTCTCACCCTGGGCAAGTCACTTGACTGCTGTCTGTCTCAGTTTCCTCGATTATAAAATGGGGAGAATAGTACCTACCTTCTAGTGCTGTTGTAAGGATCAAATGAGATAATTGTAAAGCAACTTAGCACGGTGCCTGGCTCAGAGTAGGTACTTAATAAATGTCTGTTTCTCTTTTCCCCCTTACTTACCAAGAAACTTAACTAAAAGCCTCCATGCTTGAGAGAAAAATTGCTTCCTCTGGGTGTTCCTCCTTCCTGTATCCCTTTAAGCATCAACCAGTATCCCCCTCCAGCAGACATCTCTGGAACAGGGAGAAGCACACAGAGGGCTACTTAGCCCAGCAAAATCTCTCTCCCTATCACCCCAGAAGACTTTAGGTACCCTCATGGGATCTGACCTGTGTGCTGGTATTTCTCATGATGGGCCCCATCCACCCCTATTCCAGCCTGCCTCCACCTCCTTGTGTGTGTGTGGGCAGGGGCCTAGCTCTATCCCCAGTCATGGACCCTGCCCTGCAGAAGAAACTTGGGATGGGGGAAGAGGGAGCAGGGACTATAATTCTTCAGCTGCTCAAACAAACCACCTGCCTTTTTGTTTTTCTCACTAAATATTCTTTGACTTCCCTCCTCCACAACTTTTGTCTGTCTCTCTGTCTGTCCCTCTCTGTCTCCGTGCTTCTTGGTATAATCTGGATTCTTTCTCTCCTTCCTCTCCCTCTCTTTCCCTTTCCCAGTCCCTGGAAGTTAAAGGCACTCCTCCCTTTTCCAGGCTGAATTAGTCAACAAGTATGCCTCAGTTTACCCAGGAGATGGGTTCAGAAAGAGCTCTCCTGTAAAAGGAATCTTTTTTTTTTTTTTTTAATATTTTAGGAAAAGAAATCTTTGCTTGAAACAAGTCTCAGCTGTAGGGGATTTGGGTCAGAAGCCCCGAATGAACTCATGTTTTGAGGAAGAGTGAGTGTGAGTGTGTGAGAGAGAGAGAGAGTGTGTGTGTGTGTGTCCGTGTGTCCGCGTGTCCGCGTGTCGGTGGGGTGGACTTCCAGGTGGGACAGTATATGAAGGCAGCAGACTGAGAGGATCCCACCCTGAGCCCCCAAGTGGGGGGTGGGGAGCAGCACCTAGAGAGGGACCCCAGACCCCTTTGCAGGAAAGTGAGGACAGATCCTCACCCCAAGCTCTGGCCTTTGCCTCCTCCTATGAGTTTTGTCTTTATCTCAGCCTTTCTACTTCCAACCTCAGTGGCTGTGGGTAAATTATTTTCTCTCTCTGGGATTCAGCGCCCCCTTCCTCTTTTAGCTCTAAATCAGTGCTCTCGATAAATTAGTAAATAAATTAATGACTTAAATGACTTCATCTCCCTGGGCCTCAGTTTCCTTATCTGTACAGTGAGGGGGATTGAACTTGCAGGCCTGTGGTCCCTTTCTCCTCAGGATCCATGATTTAATGATCCTGTTAAAGAAAGATCTCTAGATATCAGGAGACAAAGCTGAAGTGTGTGGTTTTGCCACTAACTCTGCACTTAGAAGAGATGGTGTCCTTCCCTCTTAGGTTGTATTTTCTTATTGCCCTTTTCTGAGCCTCGGTTTTCTCAGCTGTGAAATGGATGTAACAATAATAATTGGGCTTTCTGACTTGGCAGGTTCGTTGTGAGGTTGGTAAACATGAGGTGTGAGCTCTTACCATCATTAATCTTGCTCTTTCCTTGTTCGCCCTCTGCCAAGACTGGCATTGGTGGGCAGGGGGGCAGGATGGGGTAGGGGGGAGATGCCGTCCCAGACCTAGGGAGAGCTAGCCGAGCACAGATTCAGGGAGCTAGAGAAGGCTTGGATAGGGTTCCCATCTGATTTAGAACTGAAAGGCACGTCCCCTTCACGGCAGCCTGGTCCGAAGGGAGGCAGAGAGAGTCAAAGTGAGTGGCTGTGTATCTCACAGATGGCCACAGTAGAGTGGGTTTGGTTTCTGGGCTCTGAACCTGCCCCTGAGGGATGGTAGATATTTCCCACGCGCCTCCTCTGTGCCAGGGGGACCGAGACAAGACGAAAGTGTCAAAGTTCCTGCCTCGAAGCGGGGGAGACGGCGTGAACGTGGAGAGAGATCTCAATCTATGTAACACATTGGGGGAGCTTATTGGACAAAGGTCTGGAAGGGTAGGTCGGACCTTGTTTTAGATGGCACGCCAAGGCTTTGGGGCCCAGCTGCCGCCCCGGCTCATGCCTCTCCCTCTCTCCCCTGTCCAGTTAACGGATGCCTTGAAGCGCCTGAAGGACGGTAGCAGTAGCGCGGCCTCGGCCGGCTCCTCGGCATCTGTCACTCCCAACAGCAGCACGCCCTTCTCCCACGACACCGCCTATTCCAGCAGCCGCCTGGACACCCCCAACTCCTACGGCCAGTGCACGCCGCTCACGCCCCGCCTGGGCACCCCCTTCTCCCAAGACTCCAGTTACTCCAGTCGCCAGCCCACGCCATCTTACCACTACAGCCAGGACGCGGGCTACAAGGCCCGCCGTCACGAGACCAAATTCACGGACGCCTACAACCGCCGGCACGAGCACCACTATGTGCACAACTCATCCGGGGCTTTCCGCTCCTCCGAGCACACGTTTGGTGCTGGTGCTGCCGCTGCTACGGCCACCGCCAGCGGCGGCGGCGGGGCTGGAGGGGGTGGAAGTGGCGCCTACAAGCCCCACGTGCAGCCAGAGGCCCCCCAGTATTCCCATACTCCCCCTTCAGCCCCCTTGGGCCACACTAGCACCAACTACAAGTCGGCCTTCTCCCCGTACCAGGCTCCGGCCCTGTTTGCCCCGCACCCCGAGGAGCCGGCGACTATGCCGGCCTTTGCCCAGGCGGGCCGGGACGGTGGGGAGTACCGCCGGGCGCAGCCCCCGGCCGAACCCCCTGCCGTTGTTGCTTCAGCGGCCAAAGAGAGACCCGAGACTCCCCCTGGGCCACCGCCGCCGCCGCCGCCCCCCCCCCGAGCTGAACAGCCTGGAGCCCGGCGGGGGCCCCAGCTTTGGCTGGAGCCCTGAGCGTTGCACCAGCCCCGGGACGCCGACCCTGGAGTCATCTCCGCCATCCTCGGAGAAGCCACATGACAGCCTCGACTCCCGCATCGAGATGTTACTGAAGGAGCAGAGAACCAAACTGCCTTTCCTGCGGGAGCACGATTCGGACACAGAGCTGCGCATGGAGGGCAGCCCCATCTCCTCCTCTTCCTCTCAGCTTTCCCCGCTGCCCGCTTTTGGCTCCAACTCGCAGCCAGGCTTCCGAGGCCAGACCCCCTCCTCCCGCCCCTCCAGCACGGGCCTGGAGGACATCAGCCCAACCCCCCTGCCAGACTCGGACGATGAGGAGGACCTGGGCTTGGCCCTGGGCCTGGGCCCCCGCCCCCCGCCAGAGCCGGGCCCCCCTGACCCAGCTGGTCTTCTGGGCCACGGGGCCGAGACGGCCAAGGAGCTGGCTGGGGAGAGGACACCCACCTCAGAGAAGATGGATGAGGTAAGTGTGGCCACCGGTACCCGGGGAGCTCGCTCGGGCTGCGGTCTCCACTGCCCTCTTGCCCTTCAGTGTGAGCAGGGGAGTACAAGGTTGCAGGCGCTGAAACCTCAGGGAGACTTTCGGATTGTAGACCTGGGAGGAGGTGACAGGCTGAAGGTTACATGACTGGTTAATGACAGGCTTCCTTCGTGGGAGGGTACAAGTGTTGGCTTAGACGAGGCTCAGTCTAGCCTTCCTGCTCAGTTCCCTGGGATCTGGTCCAGATAGAGGAGCCAGAGAGGGGATGCCTTGGCCCGCTTTTCCCAGGGGCCAGATCGCGCCCTCTGGCCCCTCTGCCTTCCTTGAAATGTTCACAGCCTTTTCTGCCTTTCACTCTGAACATGGGCGAGAGAGCGGGGATCCCGCCCCATTCTGGGCCCCCTACTCTGCCAGCCCTGGCATCTTAGCTAGATTTCTCAGAGGAGTTTGGGGAGTCCCTGGGGGGAGACATTTCCTGGTCTCCTTTCCTCCCCCCCCAGTTGGCAGAAGGGAGGGAAGAACAGCTGTGTTCTGATTGACAGCTTGGGGGGCTGGGGGCTGGAGAGGGCCTCTGGGCCCGAGCCCATCAAGGAGCTTCCACAAGGGTGCATGGGAGATTCCTGCAGTACCCCCATTCTGGCTTCCCCACTCCTGCCTCCCTTCCCTGTTGGGCAGAGAGGAATGGGACAGAATAGCCCTGGCTCTCAGGGTGGGAAAGCACCACCTTCCAGCTCACTTAAAATACGTCGGGATCACAAAGTCATGGCCTCTCCTGGAGAGCTGTCTCTGGTCCTGTCTGGTGAGGAAGGGAGGGCCAGAGGAGCAGGAGTCAGGACTGATGTCTCTTCTTTTCCCTTCAGTCTTCCCTTTGCCTGCTCTTTGGGCCGTCTCTCCCCCCGTCCTGTCCCCAGCCAGGTTATCCCCTAGAGCCCACCAAGGAGACGGAGGTGTGCCTTCTTGCTGGGACTTTCTCACGCACTCCTCAGCCCCACAGCTGTATCTGTTAGGTGTCTGGCCTCCTGGGAGTGGAGCCATGAACACCGAGGACCTGGGACGTCCCATGGGAAGTTTCTGCTCTGTTTAGTCGTGTCTAGATTCTCACCCCTAGGTCCGAAGCTGGAAGAGATCTTAGCTTCCTCCTCCCACTTCCTTTTACTCATGAGAAAACTGATTAAGTGACTTGCTGAAGGTCCCCTGGATAGCAGACGGACGAGCCTGAGCTTTCCCTTCCTAGGACACTGTCCTGCCAAATGCTGAGGTCAGTAGGATTCACTGCCCCAGCAGCATCTCCAGGCCCGTGCTGCCCTCAGTCAGGGCGCCTGCGGCAGCTGCAGGGAAAAGAGCCAGCTAAGACAGCCGTGCTGCAGCACGGGGTGGGACACTTTCAGGGACCTCTTCCCTCCTCCCATGCTCCTGAAGGAGGCAGGTGAGAGGGTGGGATGCAGCTCACCGTGCCATTCAAGGCTCTGGCTCAAGCCTGGCCATCCGCTTGCAGACTTCTGGGCTTTATGGGCCCAGTTTGGAGCAGGGTGATAGAAGGAGAGAGAATTTCCTGACAAGTTTAAACGTGAGGTAGAGAAAGGACGAATAAGGCTCCAGAGGGGACGGACGAAGGGAGTTGTCACTCGTAGGGACAGAGAAGGGCTTGTGGCTGGGTTTTTGGGGGGTTATCTGTGGATTTATGTTATCCTGACTTCTTCCTGTCCTTGGAGCCTATCTCAGCCTCTCCAGTACCCAGCAAGAGCATTGGTCCTTCACGCCTCAGGGCCATCTGCCTGGGGGTGCCGAGGGTGTGGACAGTGTTTTGGCCCAAGGATGGGAGCACTCTGCTCTCTGTGGGTGGGCCTGGCCCCAAGAGCCTTTGATTAAGGTCCCGGAGCTCCCACTGGGGAAGAACACTCTGTCCTTTTTGGAATCACTGGAGAGGGGAGAAGAAGGGGAAGGGTTAGGGGCCCATCTGCCCAGGTAGATCCTGCCTTAGCTCGGAGCTTTGTGGTGTTCTGGGATGGCAGCGTGCTGGGGGAAGGGAGCCTTGGGCAGGGAAAGGGTCCCATCTTCTCCTCTGACCTGTTTCTTGCAGTAGCGGGGAGCGGTGATATAGCCTAAAAGGTCTTAGGGCCTCCTACCCCCACCCCCAGCCCACTAGCCCAGTGCCTAAGTGCAGAGTAAGGGATGAGGTCTTGCCCAGAGATGGGGAGGGTGAGAGTGGAAAGGCCGGCAGGGGAAGAAGATGGGCCATGTATGAGCTCATGGGTGGATCTGGGTCAGTGGATAGAATGTGGCCCCTGTGGGACCCCCAAGGCCATTTCCAGATGGACTTTGGGCCCCACCCCCCCAGTTACATCCTGTGGGGCCTTGGGCCAATGGCTACCTCTCACAGCCAAACAATAACCTCTGCCTTCGGTTCGTTCTAAAGGCCGTCCCCATCCGCCCCATGAGAGAGAGAGTCAGGGCAAGGCTCACTTTAGAGATGAAGAAACCGAGGCCCAGGGTCACCACTGAAGCTCGTCTTCTCAAATTATCTGACAGTCTTATAGCATCTTGAGGTTTCTAAAAGATTTGACAAATGTTTGTCTTGTTTGAGAGGAGACATCTTGTTTGAGATTGGCGCTTGAAGGGAGCTGGGGCATTGGAGGCAGACACATCAACACTTATTATAGGCTGAGTGACCCTGGACGAGGCGCTAGACTTCTCAGCTTCCTCATCTGTGAAACAGGGCCCAGAGTCAGGAAGACCTGAGTTCAAATCCTGCCCCAGACACTTACTAGCTATGTGACCCTGGACAAGTCATTTATTCTGTTTGCCTCTGTTTCCTCATTTGTAAAGTGGGGACAATAATAATAATAGCGCTTCCCTCCCAGGGATATTGTGAGGATCAGATGAGATAATAGTTGTAAAGTGCTTAGCACAGTGCCTGGCACATAGTAAGCGAGGTACAAGTGGTAGCTATTACCACTGTTACTCTTGATAACCTAGAATAGGCATGCTTAGCCTGGGTTAAAAACCCAGTTGGAGCCTCAGGCATAGATTTCAGGGGGTTCATGAACCTGGATGGGAAACAAAATGACATTTTTATCTCCACTAACTTTTGGTTTCCCGTTTGTAATTTTATTTTTATTTTATTATTCTTTCTTTTTTTTTTTGGTTAGGCAATGGGGTTAAGTGATTTGCACACAACTAGTAAGTGTTAAGTATCTGAGGCCGGATTTGAACTCAGGTCCTCCTGACTCCAGGGTCTGTCCCCTTTGTAATTTTACATATTGTATTTTAATCAATCAGTAAGCCTTTATTAAGCACTTACTATGTGCCAGGCATTGTGCTAAGCACTGGGAGCATTTAAAGCCATGGTATTGAGCTGGGGGTGTCTGTGACTACCAGAGGGATCCAGGACCCTCCCCAAAAGGTTAAGGACTCCTGACCGAGCCTCTTCCAGCTCTAAATTGGGGATACGCGGATCCCATATGATGCGGTGTTTGCCTGTGTCAGAGAGGTCTAGTGACTTTCTGGTGGTTGCACAGCCTAGTGAGAGTTGATGTCAGGATTGTCTCTGCCAGCCCCCCCAAACACACACACACACACACCCCCCCGTGTCCCACCCCAACTCCAAGGCCCCCAGCCTAGGCGCAGTGCCATCCTCTGGCCTCTGCATTCTGTGCCTTGGCATTGAGGGATGGGGCGGGAGTCTGACTCTCTTTCCGTGGCTGTCTGTGCCCTGTGGTGGCACAAACCAGGTGAGTGACGGGCGCCAGACCTGGCCCTCCAGTGACTGCTGGTGTGTCCTTGGGTGAGCAGCCTGGCTTCTGGACCTGACTTTTCCTCCTCTGTGATGTTAGAAAATTGAACTTGGCAGCCTGTAAGGTCTCTTCAGATCTAAGATCCTGTGACCTCTCTGGGCCTCAGTTTCCCCGCCTGTTAAACTCGGTGCTTGGGCTCAATTTTTGTCGAGGTGCCTTCCAACCCTAGTTTGAGGATACGACCTCCCCCAGGCCTCAGTTTCCCCTTCGGTAAAACTAGGTCTTTGGGCTTGGGGGTGCCCTGGGTCCATGGCGGGGGCAGATAAGGCAGAAGTTTGGTGTCGAGGAGCGGGGGTGGGGGTGATGCCGACCTAGAGGTCAGGGAGTCTAACCAGGGCTGTGGCGGGGTGAGATTGGAAATGAGGAACTCTGAAGCCATCCTGGCCACTTGAGATCCTCAGGCTGGTCTCAGAAAGGAAGCCCAACGGTGTGATAAGAACTGACAGGCAAGGGTTTCCCTCACTCTCGTTTCTCAGTGGTTTGATTCATGGCCAGGAAGAGGGAGGTCCAGACCCACGTGCTGGCTCTGGGAGGCAGATACCTGTGTGGCCTTGCTGATTCAGGGTGCCTCAGGCTGGCTGTCTTCCTCGTCCCCCGCCCTACTCCCCACCTGCCCGTGGTGTCCCCAGAATGGAGGCCCAGGCAGACGGGGACTTGCCATCTTTTTGCCAGCCTTTGGACCCAGACCTTCTCCTTGGAGGGGAAAATCAGATCATACATACATGTAGAGCCCCCCAGATCCAGGCTGCTTCTCTCTCTCTCTCTCTCTCTCTGCCTCTGCTATATTGGACAAGGGAAAGAAAGACAGTTTGAGGGTTCATTGATTCCTTCCCCCCCACTCCCCATCTTATGCTCCCTCCTCCAAAAACAGAAAAGGGTTTCCCTCCTCTTCCAGTGTCTGTAATAGAACGAGACCCCTGGGACCCAGGTACCCAATTTCTCTTCCAGGTTCCCTAAAGCATCTCCTCCTGCCCCGCCCCACTTCCCCTAGGGGCCAGGACAAAATAATAATATCCCAGATCCCAGCACTCCGGGAGGCTGGGCCAGGGGAGGGACCTGTCTGCAGGGCGTGCCCAGAACCTGCCAGGTGCTTAGAAGGGGCAAGGTTGTCTCCTCCCTCCTAATCACCCAGGCCCCATCTTCCCCTCCCCTTAACCAGGGTAATTAATGGGTCTATAATTAGTATGGGCTGGCTCTGAACAGAGGAGGGGCCCCAGGAGAGGCTGGCAGAAATAAACAGGGTGGATGGAGGGTCAGTAAAAGACATTTTGGTGTTTCCTGGTCTGCTCTTATCCTTGGGCCAGAGAGAACTAGATGGAAGGTGGGGGACACGGCGAGAGGGCCCCCGGCAGCTCAGGCCGAGGTGGAATACCGGGAAGGGGGCATTTTGTGGAGGGAGACCTAGGTTTTTGAGGTCCTGACTGGCTCACACCATTCAAAGCCCCAATGCCCAGCCAATAGATGTGGGAGAGAGGGGGCCAAGTTGGGGGGAGGTCTTGGAGCAAATCCACAGAAAGCTGGAGAAACAGTGGTTCTTCCTGATCTCTAAAACTGTAGTCCCCACCTAGATGCTCCCCAGTACCATACCCTCCAGTACGGGGATGGAACTGGTTCCGTGTATTTTAACAAAGTGATTTCCACAGCCAGGGGTTCCTTGATCCTCATACCACCCCGGGATGGAGGCAGAGCAGAGATCATTATTGACCCCATTTCACAGATGAGGCAACTGAGGCTTTTTGAGGTTAAGTGATTGGATGAAAGGAGGAAGAGGAGGGGAGGAGAGAGAGAGAAGCAAGAAGAAGAGCTGGGGTTGGGGGGGAGCCTGGGAGAGCTTCCTGGCCCTGCCTCCGCTGTCTGTAAGAATCTTTCCGTAGGCAGGTAGTGGTGGAGTCACTGGACCCCCAGGAGGCAGCAGGATTCTGTCCCTGCTACCTGCCTGTCTGACACCAGGTGCTCCTGTTCCAAGACCCGACCTAATTAAAAGGCTGCACCTGCGCCTCCCGTGCGTGTCTACAATCCGGGGAAAGTGAGGGGCTGGGGACACCCATCTCTGGCCCCTAGCTCCCGTGACATTGGACACCTGGCTTTGGCCTGGCGTGTGCTTTTGGCTAGGAGTCAAGAGGCCTGGGGACCATGTCTGTCCCCTCTGTGTGTGGGTAGCGCCAAGGAGGGAGCCTGCAGCTGTGCCCACATCCCAGCTCGGGGCACCTGCAAACCCAGGCAGCCCCAAGGACTTCCAGACTCCAAAGCAGTGAGGGAGTGTCTTCAGGGATCTCTCAGATCAGCTGTGGGCTGGGGAGGTGTGAGCCTGGATGGGGGATGGGGAGTAGGAGATACAACCCCCCCCCCCCAACTCCATGGGTTCTCTGTTCTGCAACTCCTTGTCCCCACTGAGGGGAGGCAGGTCTTTCTAGGGGTATGGGGTGGCAGGGAATGTAGTCTTATGAGCCTGGGCAACTGTATCTGAGTGAGTGAGTGTGTGTGTGTGTGTGTGTGAAATGTATTTACTCACACACCTTCCCACTCTTCCAAGTGCAGCTGACTACAAATGAAGGATTTAAATAACCCAGCAGATTTCCACCCCCTTCTTGACATGCTTCTCGAGGCAGGAGCTGTGTGTCTTTGTTGGGGGCGGGGAGGCATCAGCCAGGGGCAGGTTCTTTTCTCCTAATGGATTGAACCCTCAGGGCCCAGGGCTAGCTGTATGGTAGGGGCAAGGCATCACTCAAGCAGTATATCGGAGCCATCTCTCCCTGTAATCCCAGTTTTTACCCAGAAGGCCTCTGAGTGGGTAGGATAGGGTGGGGGAGCATTTCTGAACTCTTTAACCTCAGCTGTGTGAGGCATCCTGATGTAGTAGATGGACCTAGAGTCAGGGAAGCCTTGGTTGTAATCTGATCTCAGACACTTAGCTGAGTGACCCTGGGTGAGTTAATCTGACCCTTCTCAGCCTTACTTTCCTTATCTGTACAATGGGGAGAATAAAGGCACCTACTTCATATGATAGTTTTGAGAATCAAATGAGATATTTGTAAAGCACTTTGCAGACCTTAAAGCATTATACAAATAAAATAATAATAACACTATCAGGTACCCCCGGAGAACTCTCCATGGCTTATTAGCAAGAGGAAATTGACAGGAATTCCCTCACTAATATCCAACCTCTACAGGATCACTTCCAGACATGGGGAGCCCACCCCATTTTGACACCACCCTACTAGTGCCCAAATGTACGGGCTGGTTCTGGACTGTGGAGCTGACACAGAAGTCCACTCCCAACCCAATGGAAAGAGCCCTGAGTTTAGTGTTAAGAAACCTGTGTTTTAATCCTTTCTCTTCCTCTTTAGTATCTTAGTGACCTTGAGCCAGTCACTTTTCTCCCTAGGCTTCAGTTTCCTCACCTGTAAAATAAGGGTGTTAGGATGCCCTCAGGTTCCTCCCTACCCTGGGTCTAAATCTATGATCCTATGATAAAATCACAGGTCTGGACCAAAAGAAACAAAGAATTAATACCTTCGGTGGTCAGCTGATCTGCCCCATAGAAATACTTGGTAGTTTACTAAGTAAGCTTCTTACCCCTGGGATTCCTCTTGTTTCAGAACAAGCCCCAACAAATTTAGAGCCAGCCCTCCAATTTACAAGCCAGACAATTTTTTTTTTAACTTTCCAGGAAATAATTTTTTTAAAGTATGTTTGTATGGTGATCCTGGGTGGGTGGGTTGGAGTAGCCCCAGGCCTCCAGTCCAGGGAGCCTTCCAGAGGATGGGAGCTGGGAGAGGCTTCAGAGACAGTCCGGTTCAGGCCCAGTCCAGCCTCCCTTGCCGTTATAGAGAAGGAACGTCCTGGGCAGGTTGTCTAACTTCAAATCCGCTGAGACCTCCTGGGGGGCTCACTTTCTGGTCCCCTCTCTCTGATGTCTACCTGCTTTCATCCCCCTCCCCCATCTACCTGACTCTCCCCTCCCCCATCTACCTGATTTCCCCTTCCTCTATCCCCCCTGACTCTCCCCTCCCCCATCTACCTGATTTCCCCTTCCCCTATCCCCCTGACTCCCCCTCCCCTGTCTACCTGATTTCCCCCTCTTCTATCCCCCTGACTCCCCCTCCCCCATCTACCTGACTCTCCCCTCCCCCATCCCCCTGACTTCCCCCTGAGGACACAAAGGTCCAGCTGAAGAATGAGCTGGAGCTTAAGAGGCTCCAGGGACACTTCCTCCCTTTGCTCGCTCACCTTCAGCCCAGGTCCCTAGCACTGCCTTTACTGAAGGGCGCCATCTGGTGGTCAAGCTTTATTTTCTTTAGTGGTCTTGGTTATTCCTACCTCTAGGGCCAGAAAAGGACCCTGGGTCGTGTGGTCCTGCCCCCATTTGACAGATGAGGAGAGAGTCTTAAATGCCTTTCCCCAGCTTGAAGAGGCACTGAGAGGCTGAGCCATCATTTCACCCGGGTCCTCTCTCCCTGAGCCTCAGTTTCTCTCTAAAGTGAAGGGGTGACTTAAGTGATCTCTCAGGTCCCAGGTGGCTGTGAATCTACACATCTGTGACTCTGAATTCAGTGTTCTCACCGTCCGTTCACTGTGATTTTGAGAGACAGAATGCTCCTTAAGCACAAGAATTGGTTCTTCTTTTGGGGGACGAGCGTGGGTCCCAACGCACTTAGTAAATGCTAGTTGATTGACTGATTGATGACCTAGAGACATAACACTTCCTTGGTAGTCCTGGACAGGGGCTGAGGATGAGGGAGGGGGGGAGCTTGGGCTCCTTGGGAGCCACCTACCCTGTCTTCTTTCTCTTCAGGGTCAGCAGTCCTCAGGTGAGGACATGGAGATTTCAGATGACGAGCTGCCCTCTGCACCCATCACCAGCGCCGACTGCCCCAAGCCCATCGTGGTGAACTCATCAGTCACCACCCCAGCAGTGCTGGCGACAGCCATCCCCCTGCCACCCCCTGGCTTCCCACCGCCACTGCCGCCTCCGCCGCCCCCTCCTCCCCAGCCCGGTTTCCCCATGCCACCCCCGCTCCCCCCGCCGCCGCCGCCACCTCCGCCCCCCACCCACCCAGCTGTAACGGTGCCGCCTCCGCCTTTGCCAGCACCGCCACCTCCCCCAGGGGTGCCCCCACCCCACATCCTGCCCCCGCTGCCCCCCTTCCCTCCGGCCATGTTCCCCATGATGCAGGTGGACATGATGAACGTGCTGGGTGGGCAGTGGGCAGGGATGCCCATGTCCTTCCAGATGCAGACGCAGATGCTTAGCCGAATGATGCAGGGTCAGGGCGTGTGCCAGTACCCTCCATTCATGAGTAGCGGCATGCAGTTTGTGAATCTGCCCCCCTACCGGCCCTTCTCCATGGGCGCCACGGTAGGGCGGGGCCAGCAGTGGCCCCCGCTGCCAAAGTTTGACCCATCGGTGCCCCCGCCGGGGTACATGCCCAAGAAGGAAGACCCACACAAGGCCACGGTAGATGGAGTGCTGTTGGTGATCGTCAAGGAGCTGAAGGCCATCATGAAACGGGACCTGAACCGTAAGATGGTGGAGGTCGTAGCCTTCCGGGCCTTCGATGAATGGTGGGACAAGAAGGAGCGGATGGCCAAGGTAAGGGGGCGTGGTGGGCTGCGGAGCACCGGGCGGGAGTGAGAGGAGAAACAGGAGATGGGAAAAGGCCCAGTCCCTGTCCTCCCGGGGCTCTCAGGCTAGCTCGGGCTGAGATGGACCCGTCGCAGCTCAGCACAAAAGCCATCTGCGCTTCGGCCCACTGCTTCTTGCCATGGGCCCGTGAGCAGGGCGGGACAGGTGGTGTTTATCCCCATCTTGGAGAGGAGAAAATGGAGCCTCTGAGAGGAGATCACGGGGCCAATAAGTGGTAAAATTGGGAAGCATACTCAGGGCACCTAGCATAGAGCCTTGCCCCGAGGCTGCATTTCTGATCATTCAGTTGGATTTAGCCAACACTTATTAAATCTCTTCTGTATACCAAGCACCGTGCTAGGTGCTGGGTGTGCGAAGGGAAAAACAATCAGACAGTCCTTGACTTCAAAGTGTCTGTATTCTGTTGGACAAGTAGACAGTAAGTGATGGTTGAGGGCAGCCTAGACTGAGTTCTGAAATGGAGGGGTCGGATGGCGAGCTAGGTGGCGTAGCAAATGGCCAGTTGGACTTGGATCCAGGAAGACCCAAGTTCAAATCCTGCCCCAGCCACCTACTAGTCTGTGGTCCTGGGCAAGTAAGTCACCGATCCTCAATTTCCTTGTCTGTAAAATAGGGATAAAGGAGCACCTACCTTACAGAATTGTTGTGGTGACCCAATGAGAGCTTTGTAAACCTGAAAATTTGTAAAGGCTGATTGTTGTTGTTATAATAACAATAATAATGATAACTATTACTATTTTTGGGGAGGCATCAATAAGGGTTAAGTGACTTGCCCAGGGTCACACAGCTAGGAAGTGTCTGAGGCTAGATTTGAACTCAGGTTCTCCCGACACTAGGGCCAGTGCTCTATCCAGTACACCACCTAGCTGCCCCTATATTATTATTCAGAGTTGGGACTGGGGAGGAGGGGAGGTGCCAGAGTCATCTGTGGCAAAGGCCATGGGGTCCAGAAGCCCTGGTGTTGGGGTGGTGCTGAGACCAGCTGCTTACGAGGGGCTATCCATAGTGGGGGTCACCTCTGTTCGGCCCCGGGCCTCCTCTTGCACAGGAAGGGCAGGGGCAGAGAGCTCATGAGCTAACAGACCGAGGAAGGAAGCTCGGAGGTCTGCTCGTCTGACCCCTGATATTACAGACGAGGACACCGAGTCCTGGAGGGATTAAGCGATGTTGTAATAAGACCATAGCTGTCGACATGGCAGGGACCTCAAAGTTTTCCAGTCCAACCCTCTTTCATTTTGCAGATGGTCCCAGAGAAGGGAAGTGAATTATCCAAGGTCACACAGCAGGTAGTAAGTGTCCCGGGGAACATTTGACCCCAGACCCTGTGATTCCAGAGCCAGGGCTTTCCCCTGGCTACACCCCCCACCCCCCACCCCCCCCCACCCCAAGTCTGCAGCTCTCACTCCCTGGTGTCTCTGCCCCATAGGCATCCCTGACCCCCGTGAAATCAGGCGAGCACAAGGATGAGGAGAGGCCAAAGCCCAAAGACCGCCTCACATCCTGCCTGCTGGAGAACTGGAGCAAGGGCGAGGGGCTGGGCTACGAGGGCATGGGGCTGGGCATCGGCCTTCGAGGGGCCATCAGGCTGCCCTCCTTCAAGGTGAGACCCCCACCCCCGGGCCTGATGGGCCGGGGGGAGGAACTGTGGGGGTGGGAGGCCAGGGCAGGGGATCTGACTCCTCCAGAAAGAGGCCCCCGGCCCTCCCCGTCCACATCTCGGAGCCGGGGGCTCCGTGTTCCACTTGGAGGACGAGGGTGCGGTCGCGTCTCCTCACTTCACAGACACTGGCAGGGGAGACGTAGCTGTGTTTCCCCCTCCCTCCAACGTTCCCCAATACCCCCTCCCCATCGGCGCTTTTACGTGCAGGTAAAGAGGAAGGAGCCGCCAGACCCAGCCTCCACTGGAGACCAAAAGAGATTGCGGCCCTCCACCTCAGTAGACGAGGAAGATGAAGGTGGGTTGTTTTCCCCTGAGGAGCATCGGCCCTTCTTTCCTCCCCAAGCAAAGTCTTTCCCTCATACCCGTCCTTCTTTCTCTCACCTTCCCCCAGAGTCAGAACGGGATAGGGACATGTCGGACGTCCCCTCAGACCTGGCCAAGAAGGACCCGGATGGCGTCAGTATCCGGAGGCGGCCGGCCCGGCCCCTGGAGCTGGACAGCGAGGGGGAGGAGGAGGACGACAAGGAGGAGTCGTCTTCATCGTCCTCGTCGTCGTCGTCCTCGTCGTCGTCGTCCTCGTCTTCGCTGTCCTCGTCGTCATCGTCATCCTCAGAGAAGGAGGAGGATGAGGAGGACAGGCTGGCCAAGACCTCCTCTGACAAGGTGTGGGGTCAGTCCGGAGGGGAGCTGGGTGCTCCGGGGGGGTCCATCAGCCCACTCCCTTTAAGGGCTGAGTCTGTGCCGGGCCCCGGGAGACAGAAAGGGGCAAGAGCAGACCCTCTTCCTGCCCTCCAGGACATCCTCTAAATGGGGGCGGGGGCACACGCATCAGCACGAGAGGGGGTCCGGGACAGGCCTTTGCGAAAGGTGGGATCCGAGCGGGTAGAAGGTAGAAGCTGCCTCCTCCTCCCCCTCGCTGTCCAGGTGGAGCAAAGGTACAGATTCAGGAGAAGCAATTCCTTGTCCGTGGCGCTCCAAGTAGGCCCATGGAGCTAGGGCTCGGGGCAGCTAGGTAAGCAGTAGATAAAGTTCTGGGCTTGGAAGACCCGAGCTCAAATCCAGCCTCAGATACTTACTAGCTATCGCCTGGACAAGTCACTGAGCCCCTGTTTGCCTCAGTTTCCTCATCTGTAAAATTGAGATAATAACATCTGTCTCCCAATAAACACTATATAAACATCAGCTGATATTGCCTTAAAGTTGACAGAGGGCGAGTCAGATAATCAGGTCAGCCAGGTAGGCAGGGCCAAGGCTGTAGACACTTTCCTATGGTCCTCGCAGTATTAGGCTTCTCGAGCAGGGGTGCCCTGGTCAGGCCTAATCTTTAGGAAGATGATGTTGGCGACAGAGCAGAAGATGGATCGGAGTGGGAGGAAAACTTGAGACAGGGATCCCAACCAGAAGGCGAGAGCCGTTGTCTCGACGTGAGGGCATGAGGGCCTGGGCCAGAGGGAGTAGGGAGAAGCGGCCCTATGCTAGAGGTGACAAAGTCTGGCATGAGGTAGATTGCAGGATGCCCACTAGACTGAGAAGCTGGTTGACTGGGAAGAGGGTGGTGCCCTCTACAGTAGCGAAGAAATTTGGAAGAATGGAGGATTTTCAGACGGTTGGAAAGGGAGCAAGGTTTAGGGGAAAAGGCGACGATTTCTGTTTTGAATTTGAGATGCCCGTGTGACGTCCAGGTCAACGTGGCCAAGGGAAAGTTGGAGATGCATGACTGGTTCATCGGAGAGACCAGGACCGGAGATAGAGCGCAGGGACGGATGCCCTTGGGGACACGGCTAGATCCTGACCCCATTCTGTGCTTTCTTCTCCCCCACTCAGGAGGACGAGGAGGACGAGGATGTGGATGAGGAAGAGGAGGAGGAGGAAGGGGACGAGGAAGAGGATGAAGAAGAAATGGCTGAGGTGGAGATTAGTGAGAAAGAAGAGGAGCTGGGCTCTGAAGGAGGTGAGTGTCTCTCTTTCCCAGGCAGATGGAAACACATTGGCCTTGCCCTTGACCGGGATCAGCCTCAAGCTAGCTGTGCCCATCAAGCCTCTGGTGTCTGTCGTTTAAAAAAAAGTTACTGAATTTTATTTGAAGGGGAGGCAGTGTGGTGTCAGCCTTGGAGCCAGGAAAGTCTGGTTTGAAGTCCTGCCTCTGACATGTACATAGTGGCTGTGTGACCTTGTTCAAGTCACTTAAATTCTGCATGTTCTAGGCAGTTGTCTCAAAATCTAAATTGTTAAGAAGGTGCCAGCCTGGGGCAGCTAGGTGGCACAGGGGGTACAGCACTGGTCCTGGAGTCAGAAGGACCCGAGTTCAAATCCAGTCTCAGACCAGACACTTGACACTTACTAGCTGTGTGACCCTGGGCAAGTCACTTAACCCCAATTGCCTCGCCCAAAAAGAAAATGACATAAAAAGAAGGTGCCAACCTGGGGCAAGTAAGTGGTGCAGTGGATTGAGCACTGGCCCTTGAGTCAGAAGGACCCGAGTTCAAATCTGGTTTCAGACCAGACACTTCACACTAGCTGTGTGACATCTGGGTAAGTCATTAACCCCAATTGCCTCGCCCCCCCCCCCAAAAAAAGTGACCTAAAAAGAAGGTGCCAACTTGCATTGGTGAAAAGGAGTGTCCTCCTTCTCCAGGAGTTCCTTGTTAAAATGAAATGCCAGATCTGCCCCATGTCCCCTTTCTCTCTGGCTATCTTTTCTTCTTAATCACTCCCACCCTTCGTAGTAACAACCACCAAAATAATGAAAGGAAAAGGCAGTCTGGCTGATTGACGAGCGTGTCTTGGCACTTACCATGAGCTAAGAGCTGGGGATACAAAGAAAAGCAAAACCAATCCCTGCCCTCAAGGAGCTTCTACTCAAGTTGGGAGAGAAAATGTCACTGACTCGCTCGGTGTTCTAGCGGGGTCACGTTCATTGCGTTCACATCCCCAGCCTTTGAATCGATGGACATTTATCTACTGGGCTTTTATTTCTTCTTTTCTACCAGAAAAAAAGGGCTCCAATGGATCTTTTGTTTGGTTTTTGATCCCCTTGGGTTATATGGTCGGCTGTGGGATCTCTGGGTCTAAGGGGGTGGATGTGTTAGTTGTGTCTGTCTTGCTCCGTCCTACCTTCCCTCCCCGCCCCCCACTCACATGGCCCTGCTTCTGCCCTCCCAGAGGATGTTGGAAGTGTGCCCTCCTCCAAGGCAGAGGCCACGTCCTCCGAAGAAAGTGAGGACTCTTCAGATTATGAGTCCAGTTCAGAGTCCGAGGAGGAGGAAGAGGAGGAGGAGGAGGAGGAAGAGGATGAGGACGAGGCTGAGGCCGAGGAATTAGCGGCGGAAGCGACAGCTGGGGAAAGCCAAGACCCGCCGGGAGCCGGGGAGCCAGCCGTGGAGGCCGGAGCGCTCGTGGAGGATGATGACGAGGTGGTGACCATCCTGGAGTTGACGCCGGTGGTGGATGAGCCAGACTTACCCAACTTGGGGGCGGAGGAGACAGCGGGAGTCGGGGATGCCCCGGAGCTGCCAGGCCTCAAGCAGGTGGGAGAGATGTTGGCTGAGCTCCCCATCTCAGCCGGGCCCCCGGAACCGCCGAGGCACCTGACCCCGTCACCTGTGGATGCTTCAGGTAAACACACTGGCGCGTCTGCCTTGGCTCGCCCCTTCCGAGGCCCCTGAGGTGGTCTCTCCCCTCTCCATATTCTCCTGTCCCCAGACAAGTGGCGGCCTCCATGTGCCTGACCCCACCCTTCGCCCTGAGAGGCCGTCTGCTGTATGCAGGAGGGGAACCTGGGTTCAGATGCCAGCATCAGCTCTGATTAAGCGTTTAATCTTCATGTCACTTAATCTGAGTCTCAGTTTCCTCATCAGTGAAATGGGGATAGTAATGTTTGTGTTCCCTCCCCCACAAAGATGTTCTGAAGAAATCACTTTAGAGACATCAAAATACTATTGAAATGTGAGTTCTCATCTCTCTCTCCCTCCCTCCCTCCCTCCCTTCCTCTCCCTCCCTCCTTCCCTCTCTCTCCCCCCTCCTCACTCCCTCCCTCCCCCTCTCTCCCCCTCCTCTCCCACCCTCCCTCCATCTCTCTCTCTCCCACCCTCCCTCCTCCTCACTCTCTCCCTTCCATTCTCTCCTGCCCTCTCTCCCCCTTCTCTCCCACCCTCCCTCCCTCTCTCTCTCTCTTTCTCTGTGTCTTTCCCTCTCCCACCATCCCTCTCTTCCACTACCCTCTTCCTCGTAGGGGAAGAGTTAGAGGCAGAGCTCAAACCTGCAGAGATCCCCAAGGAGACATCTTTGCGGCAGCTGCAGCGACTGCCCAGTCCGTCTGTCCTTCCCCCAGAGGCCGCACCTCAGCAGGGCAGCTTCCTGCTGGAGGCTGAGGTGGAGGGCCGGCCCCACACCCTAGGCCCCAAGGTGGTCCTTCCTCTGGAACCAGAGCCCCTTCGACTTCAGCCTCTGTTCCCTGTCAGGCCCCCCCAGCCGCTGCCTCTCCCGGAAGAGCCCCTGCATGAAGAACCACCCCCCCCGGACGCCAGGCCGGGACCCTCTGGCCAAGTCCCAGAGCACAGAGACTGTGCCAGCCACGCCGGGCAGTGACACCCCCCTCACTGCCAGCAGCCTGGCCCTCAGTTCCCCCCAGGTTCCCAGCAGCCCCTTCTCCTACCCGTCTCAGTCTCCGGGGCTCAGTGGTGGTGGCATCCCTCGGACGCCTGGGAGAGACTTTAGCTTCACACCCGCTTTTCCTGAGCCCGTGGGGCCCCTCCCTCTGTCTGTCTGCTCCCTCCCACCTGGCAAGAAGCTCCCTGGGGATGATCGACCAGGGCCTGCTGCTCCAGCTTCTTCCAGCCCCCTGGAAACCAGTTTCCCCCTGCCCGTGTCTCTCCCGGTGCCCCTCCCGGTGCCCGTCCCTCTGCCAGTCCCTCTGCCCCTCCCTCCGGGTCCATTGTTGCCCCGCTCTTCTACCTTGCTACCTCTGCCCTTGACCTTGCCCCTGGCTCTGCCTCTGGCCCCCTCCCTACCAAGCCCCTGCCCCCCTCCCACCAAGAGGAAGCCCGGGAGGCCCAAGCGCTCGCCCCCAGCTGTGCTCACCCTGGACGTGCCTCCGGGAAGGCTCGCCGCTGTGCCTCCTGAGGCGGCGGGCCCCAAGCTGCTGCTGCTGGCAGGGCAGCCCCCTGCCGCTGCCTCCTTCCACGGGGCACCAGACCCCCGCGTCGTGACGCTGGACTTCAGGAACGACGGGGGCCTTCCTCCCCCGCTCCCGCCCCCACCGCCACCCCCACCCCCGCCCAACGAGACCGCCAAGCTCCCTTTCAAAGAGCTTGAGAATCAGTGGCCTGAGCAGCCGCCTCCCCCTGACCGCGGGCCAGAGGAGGAGGGGGAGAATGGTGACGGAGGCGGCTTCAGCAAGCCCAAATTGCCTTGGCGCCGGCCGCCCAAGAAGCGGCACGAGGACGTGGTCGTCCCCTCCCTGCCACCCCCTTCCCCCGACTTCCCGTCGCCCCGGCGCCCCCTCTTCCGGCCCCGCTCAGAGTTTGAGGAGATGACCATCCTGTATGACATCTGGAACGGCGGCATCGACGAGGAGGACATCCGTTTCCTGTGCGTCACCTACGACCGGCTCCTCCAGCAGGACAGCGGCATGGACTGGCTCAATGACACGCTCTGGGTCTATCATCCCTATATCCTCCCCTGCCCTGGGGCCCCCCAGGCAGCGTCCTCCGGTCTGCGCGGCCGGTACACCCCACGTGCCGGGCACCGCACCTGCAGAGAAAGGCCGGAGACAGTCCCTGCTCGCGAGGAGTCACGGCCCACGGGGCTGCGGGAAATTTGAGTGGGCAAACACGGCAGCTTCGGAGCCAGGGAATGTGTGTTTCAAGCACTGCCCGGCCGCTCCCTAGCTTCTACTGGGCAAGTCGCCTTTGGCGTCTCAGGTCCTCATCTGTAAAATGAGGGGACTTGTCATTGCCTTCTGGCACTGCATCTGCACTCCCAGCGCACTTGGGCTCCTTGTGTGCCTCAGTTTCCTGTTCCTGAATGGGAGATTGGGCGAGATAACCAGGGAGCTCCGGCAGCCTCCAAGTAATAACCGTAGGCAGCAATCACGTAGCACTTTCTGGGTTGGCAAAGCATCTATTTTGATCTTCCCAGGAACTCTGTGAGAGGGTAGGTGCTCTTATTACCCCTACTCTGCAGTTGAGGAAACTGAGGCAGGCAGAGGTTAAGTGACTTGCCCAGGATCACACTGCTAGTAAGTGTCTCAGGCTGGCCTTAAACTCGGATTTTCCTGACTCTAGGCCCAAGGATCTGTCCCCTGCACCACCGAGCTGGGTTAAGTCTGCGACCCTGTGAAA